GTAGTGTGATGGTCTGGTGCTGTTTCGGGACCTGGAAGACTTGCTGTGATAAATGGAACCATGAATTCGGCTGTCTACCAAAAAATCCTGAAGGATAATGTGCGGCCATCTGTTCGTGACCTCAAGCTGAAGCGAACTTGGGTTCTGCAGCAGGACAATGAGCCAAAACACACCAGCAAGTCCACCTCTGAATGGCTGAAGTAAAACAAAATGAAGACTTTGGAGTCGCCTAGTCAGAGTCCTGACCTGAATCCTATTGAGATGCTGTGGCATGGCCTTAAAAAGGCGGTTCATGCTCGAAAACCTTCCAATGTGGCTGAATGACAACAATTCTGCAAAGATGAGTGGACCAAAATTCCTGCACAGCGCTGTAGACTCATTGCAAGTTATCGCAAACGCTTGATTGCAGTTCTTGCTGCTAAGGGTGGCCCAACCAGTTATTAGGTTTAGGGGGAAAACACTTTTTCACACAGGGCCATGTGGGTTTGGATTTAGTTTTCCCTTAATAATAAAAGCCTTCCTTTAAAAAATGCATGTTGTGTTTACTTGTGTTACCTTTGGCTAATATTTAAATTTGTTTGATGATCTGAAACATTAAAGTGTGACAAACGTGCAAAACAATGAAAAATCAGGAAGGGGCCAACACTTTTTCACACAACTTTACATCACTTCCGCATTCTGACAGCGGAGAGGGGACCGGAGGGAGGTCGTGTACTCCATCTGATCCCCTGTCCGAGAGGCACTAAGCTGGTCCCGGGCTCGCACCGGGCACAGCGGATCGCTTGTATGTTAACAGGCATCGCTGCCTGTTATTAAATTTTGGGACTTTCCCACTCCCGCGCGGCATGCGCGAGGGGGTTGTGGCTGTGAGCTGACGGCTAAAGACCTAGATCTAGATCTAGAGAGCTCCTGGCCGGCCATTTTTTACAACGGTCAGCCGGGAAGTGGTTAACTACTGTGTGTGAGCTCAGATTAGCAGGAATATAGCTTTCTTATCAAAGCAATTGACAAAAATTGCACTGGTTTTCCCCATGTTAAACAAAAAGTGTAGTTTTAAAATGACATTAGCTGTTTTTAATACATCCGCTGATAACAAGCAGATTTGGAAATATTATCTATTACTGCTGTGTCAGTCCCTACCATTCGTGTAGTCCCAGGAAAAACAGATAGCTAACTGCTAGAAGAAGGCAGGCCCAACATGTTCAGCTACCGTGTAGTACAGCCAGACCAGAAATGAGAACAGGGAAGACATCAGGGATCCCTCTAGATGTGCATTTACCTTTCCACAATTGGCTGGAATCACAATGAGAGTATAGGGTGGGCTTGGCTAAACCTATGCAGAGGCAACCTGCTTCAAGTGATTTAGAAATTACATGACTGAAGTACAGAAATCATCATGTAGTCCCCATTTACACACTTTGTTGCACATCTTTTAATGCATTTTGTGTTTTTCATGAGCTATTTATTTTGGTTTTGGTCAAAAAAAGGTGAAAAAAGGATGGGTTGCTAGGGGCTTGTTGTCATGCTAAAAAGGTGTGGATGTTACATGCATTTTTCATGCAATCCCATTGAATTCCGTAGGGGCTAAAGTAAAGGGACTATGTAGAACCAAAAGAAGCACTTGCACCTTTATTAGGGCTTGTTTACACTATCTCCAGACCAGATCTGGATGAGTTTCTGCAAACGCGGTCATATGCATTTGTTACATGTTTGTGATGCGCCTGGTGGATTTTTTGGTTTTGCTTGGGTTCCAGTGTGTTTGCATGTGTTTACATGCATTTTTGTGCATTCCAGACCAGAAATGATTTTTGGAAAAGCTCTGGAACTGAATGCAATGGTGTGAACTAGCCTCATTTTTACCATTATAATTAGTGGGGATGCATTTTTGGTCCAGATAAAAAACAAACATTCTGGTCTGGAGATGGTGTGAACAAGCCCCAAATGTCGAATGGCAGTGCAATGCATAGGTGTGGATGATTTCCACAGAAAACAATGGGATTCCTTTTGTCATACATTGTTGCGCGATTACCGAAAATCACACAGGTGTGAATTGGGGCATTTGGTCTGTGGCAGACATGGAAGCAAACAGTAATGCAGAGCAATTGTCTGTTCTCATACCTTGTCTATAGTTATAAGGCAGACAGAGTTATACTGAATGTAAACAAAGCAATGTTTACACTGGCCTTGGCCAGTATATGTTCTCTTTTGCAGTCAAATTTGAGTCTAAGTTTGTTATGTGTTCCTATTCACAAAGCATACTGAAAAATAACTTTTTAAAAAATAATTCTTACTTTAGATGTTTTGTTAACCACTTCCCATCCGCCGATCGTTGAAAGATGGCCGGACAGGAGTCTCCTGGATGCAGGTGAGCGTCTTTAGATGTCCTTTATCCCGCGCCTGCTGGCGCGCCCCCATGGCGCGCACGAGCGGGAACCCGCCAGGATTTTAAACGGCCAGCGATGGCCGTTTACATACATGCGGTCCAGCGTCTGTAAAGACGCCCGATTGCTTGTATGATGCAAGTGAGGGTGCGCCCCCCCCTTACCTCTGGTTGGTGTCCCCGCCCCTGCCGTCCCCGGGCGTCCATCCGTCCCGGGCGATGTGGCTCTGTTCACTGAGAACGGAGAGAGATCAGTCTCCCTCCGCTCTCTGAATGCAGGAAGTGATGTATAATACATCACTTCCGCATTCCTCTGTCACTCTCTGGAGAGAAGCTGATGAAGCAGATCTGTGCTTCATCAGCTTCTCTGGGGGTCCCTAGGTGACATTAGGGGTCTTAGAGACCCCTGATGTCTCCATAAAGGGGACCTGTAACTGTAATTTGTTATCACATAGGAGCATCCTATGTGATAACAAGAAAGTTAAGTGTAAAAAAAAAAAAAAAAGTAAAAAAAATGCTCACAAAATAAATACAAATTTACACACACAAAACAAAACCACAACATTTTTTAAAAGTCCCCCACCCCCACATAGATTCTCAAAAATGCGTTAAATGCGCCTACACGCAAAATTGGCGATTGCTCCAAATATGCTGCACGTGTTACATATCGACGCGAACGTCGCAATGAGAGCAATAATTCTAGGGCCATCAATCACTGATAACACTAAACTGATGAGCGGTAAAATCTTTTAAAGCGTCGACTATGGCTGTGGTGTTTTTTTGCGATTTCGCGGGCGAGTGCAATTTTAAGGTTTGACATGTTTGGTGTCTATTTACCCGACGTGACCCCGCCTTTTATATTTTACCAAGAAGCAGTTTAAGTGAATGGGAAAATGTAACAAATATAACATAGGTGTTATCCCAATTTGGCTGCAAAAGTGGAAATACACTTTAAGGCACAGGAAAGGAACAGGCTGAGGGTTAGAGATTACATGTTCAAAATGATTTGCTGTTTCTGGATATATTAAAAGTGCCAACGGGTTTTAAAAGTACAGTAATCGTTTACCATAAGACTCTACTCACTGTGTTATCAAAATTCTTTTAGTTTCCCCCCTCAGCCTCAAATTCTGAAACAGAAATGTAACTTGGCGATGTCAGAACGTGGGAAAAATCTGTTATGGAAATATTACAGACTTCCATGACAACAATGCTAACAGCATCCCACATATCCTCCGGAGAGAATTTGGCTTTGTTTGCACATCTGCTATAACACACTGGATGTCCATTCATCACTCACAAAAACATTACAGTGTAATGCATTAACTGAACGCTCATTATCATCAAATCCATATAACTTAAGTGCCATTTTAAATGGTACAATCAGATTGTGTGATGGAGGATAATGGGAACTGGCATTTGGATACCGAAATAGATAAACTGGCTTCAGATTCAAGCACTGCAGGTTTGAGTAAAGATGAGTAATACACAAATATTTAACTTCTTGAGAAATATTTCATACATTTGGTTATAAAAGCAACAAAGTCATCATATTTTATATTATACCAAATTAACTTGCCATTAATACCAGACACACATACTGTAAGTATCTAAAAGATACCCAAGCTGTAAAAAACCCTCAAAAACTTGACACTTTACACCAGAACATATTGGGTGGGAAATGCATGAGCCAATCTTTAACCATTTTGATGCCAAGGCATTTTTTGGCACATGTTATAATGCACATTTTAGGGAAATTACATAAACCCCCTAAGAATTATACGTTTCCTGAACGCACAGACCCTATAGAATAAAATGGAGGCAGTTACAAATTTTTACGTCGCATGATATTAGCGCAACTCTATCGCACACAAAAATTCTATAAACATTATACTTAATTTAATTTTGGTGCACAATAATACCCGTTTTTTTGTAAAATATTAAAATATAAAAAGATGGAGGTTATGCTGAGAACATGCATATCTAACATGCCTAGCTTAAAAATTGGGTGCGCCAAAAGTACGGCAACTAAAGTGCAGTACCCTAAATTATCCATTTAAAATAGTTCTGCTGCTTATTGTCATCTGTCAAATTAAAGTACAAATAAAACTATATGAGAAGTCCTTTTTTATTGGCCCACAATCTAAACATCTGCCTCAGGGTTTAGCATGGCTGGAGCTTTCAGATTTAACTTTATGCGTGCAATGTGACTAAACAAATTAAAGAATATATGAGAAGTTAGGCATTCTTTTTCAATGCATGACTAACAATACTGAGGATCCATACTGCCCTCCTGTGTAAAAGTTGGGAAAAGAAATGACTCAGTCTGCTATGCACAAACAGAATTCATCCTTCTTTCAAAAGGGTACCTACAAATTACGAGTTATAGAAAACAAATGACATTCACAACTAATTGCATTACCCTCACTGTGCAACAGTAACCTCAACTTAAAATAATAAAACAGCATGAATAATAGAATTCAAACAAAAGGTACCATAACACCGGAGTCAACAGAATATACTCGCATCAATAAACAAAACAGCATATAAAAAATACTATCTATATATGAATTATCAAATATCCTCTATAAGAATATAAAAGCAACAATATCAACATCCTTACCGTATTCACCAAATACCAATAATGTGTACTGTTGTCGCTCCACGATCATTGACACAAGTTTCACACTGAGCCAAATCACCAGCATCCCAAGAGTGGCATCTAGCAGAAAATGCATGAGGTATCTGTACAGAGAGAAAAATGTACATTACACATCCTGAAGTCATACAAATAAGCACAGGTACATTTACACATGCATCCTAGAGGCCTATATATGACTTTTACGGGTATTGATCATGAACTTTGGGTCTTTTCGTTGTTTTGACAATGAACAAGAAAAAAACTAAAATAAAATCAAAATTAGAACGCTCCTTATATAACACCACCCAAAAATGGAATATAATCCCACCCTACTCTTCTACACCATGTAGAATTATCTACACAAATGTTTTTTTCATACACACTCCATTAACTGGACAAACTCAGATTTATTTTATACGTTTTTTGTGAAAAGATGATCTAAAAAGTAGGGATGCACCGATACAGGTTTTTCGGTACGGAGTACGAGTACCGATATTTTTTTCCGGTACACGCCGATAGCAAATACAATTCCAGAAGTCCCATTAAGGAAGCCAGGCGGTGTGTATTGACTCGCCACCTGGCTTCCTGATTAGCCAGGAGGCGTGTAAAGACTCACCACTCGGCTCCCCGATTAGCAGGGAAGCCGTCGCCATGCTTCCTCATAAGCATGAAGCCGGCTTTCTGGCCAATCAGGAAGCTGGGCTTCCTCATTGCCCATCTTCCCAAACAATCAGGAAGCCAGGCAGTGTGTATTGACTCGCTGCCTGGCTTTCTGATACTGGAAGTTCGGGTATCGGGCTAGGCATTGGAGCATGCAGGCAAGTAAGAGTACTTGCCCAAATACTCGTTATTGGCACAAATACTAGTAATCGGTATCGGTGCATTTCTACTAAAAACACTTGATTTATACAAAGATGCTCCTATGGGCTCATGATGCTCTATTTTTGGTGCTTTTATTGTTAACACTTTATTTATGGAAGTAGTATTTACCGTATATACTCGAGTATAAGCCGAGATTTTCAGCCCAACCAAAGAAAGGTAAATGATGTATGAAAAAAGTAGAGCTAATTCAGCATAGCTCAAAGTAACATAACTGCTATAGATCTATTATTTAGTTTGTAAATAGGATTGCGTGACTGCTGCTAGCTTAGTCCCAGTTGTTGTCCAGTTTACTTTTACATTATTGACTCAGGAAGTGCAAGTACCCAACCTGTACAAATCTCATGTGACTGATAAGAGGAAGCAAAATGGCTCCATAGGGAAATAAATTGTACACCTCTTGTACACCACTGTATCTACACATGAAAAGGTTGATTACTCAGTACTCACAAAGAACATGGATCCTCTTCAGTCAGGTCTGAAAGGAACACATTTGTAAAGTGGATGAAGAGAGCTCCAATGGCTTGTTTAGAAGTGTCAAAAAACCTACAATAAAAAAGGAACAAAAAACACAATTCTCATATGGATATTTACTACAAAAGGTAAAATGTTTGGGCTCTTAAAATAAACAAACATTAAAAAGGAGAACTATGAGGTGAGTGCTTTTCACTCACCTCATAGTTCTAGCCGACCTGTGACAATGAGACTGTCACAGGTCAGCTCAGTAGATCGGGAGGTGAGCGAACACATACCGGCGTTCGCTAACCTCTCGATCCTGTCACGGCTCTCTGCCGTGACAGGGGAGGGGCTGGATTCCCCCCTCCCCGCTCCGATCCGCCAGCGCTGACTGGCGGAACGGATGGGGGAGGGTACAGCTGGCTCTGCCTCTAGATAGGCAGAGCCAGCTATCAGTCACGCAGCTGGACGGATCCCGGCACAATTGTCGGGATCTGCTTCAGCGTCTCAGTATATCGCGAGCAGTAGCTCGCGGTATACGGCGACGTCTCAGTATACCGCGAGCTACGGCTCGCGGTATACTGAGCCCAGAGTGAAGGGAGGACGCTATTTTGTGTCCTCCCGTTACCCTAAGGAGAACTATGGGGAAAAGCCTTAACCCCATAGTTCTCCTTTAACAACGTGTTCTAGCAGTTATGAGAAATGAGAGGAAAGTCCACATGTGACAGTTGTGATCAAAGCCTATTGTCTCCATACTGCTTTTCTGGTGACGGTTGTAGAATTTTAGATTTCCATTTACTTTCTGTTCCAGAAACAAAATGGTCACCAGGACAGAAAGAGAGAGTGAATCTTCCAAACAAAAGGAGAGAACAAGCTTTATCTACCCTTTCAAAACACTAGAAAAAAAGGCTTGTGTTAGAATTCCACTTCAACATCTGTCCTGCCCAGGGTATCCAAACTGACTGGGACACACAGACATGAAACACTGACTCTCCTTTAATAATGCTTCACCTTCCACCTAAGAAGTAGTAGAGGAATTGCTTAGGAAAGATATCTCTAGGGAGGTTACTCCCTGAGGTTTTCTTGTTTTTATCACTGATTGTAATATAGATCTTTTCATTTGATGGGCACTCTCAGTGACCATCATGGAGGCACTTTAGGACCCGTTCATACCAAAATCAGAAAGTAAATCACAATTCAACGGAGGTTCACGTGACCTGCGATTGTACTCTCCGTTTTACTTCCGTTGCACGTTTTTTTAAACTTTTGGGCAATTTTTATGTGAAGTACCATGTCCAGAGTGGACATACTTCACTTTACTGCCTTTTCCTTACTCGTGTTGCATTTACATGAGTTAGCATGTGTTTATAAAGTGTTTATAAAGTGCACTGAAAAAAAGGAGAGCATGCTTTTTCAGCACACTGCAATGCAACACAATGCATTAGTGTCTACTGGCCCCATTCACACCCATACATTTTAAGTGCCCTTGCGATAACATTTATTGAAAAATGGATGCCAACACAATACAACAGATCTGGTGTGAATAGGGCTTAAAGTGTATATCCTATCCCAAGTTTCCTTCTAAATGTCTAGGAGGATGTTCCAGCATTATTTTTTCTTTTACCTTAGTTTTTTTTAATACTTGTGACTTCATCAACATCCAATTTTTTTTGGGTGGATCTGATTGGAAGCCCAATGTTACTTTATGGGCAGCCCCCCGACTCTGTGTATGCCCGGAAAAAACCCCCCAAAAAACGACTGACTTCTGTTTTACCGCACCCGATTGTGACGGATTGAAGGCGAGTAAATGTAAATGGACACACGTAAATGGACACACAATTCCCCTTAGACCTAACGTGGGTCCGGTTGGTTCAGTTTTTAACTCCATCGCAAGATCGAGGAAAACAACTGTATGGACATGGATGCCAAAAAAGTTCCCAAGTTCACATCTGTTCCATACTGCTCCGATATGTGCACGGATCCCCTGCTGATCAGAATGGACGCCACCCATATAAAAAGGGACCCGATAAAGAAATTAATGCATGCATGTGGAGTGGAACCAAGAGGGGTGGGGGATAGAAAGAGTTCTGAAGTCCGGCAAGCTGACAAAGTTGGTTAGGATTTTAGTGCAGTAAAGGCTGCACTAAACAGCTCCCAGGTTGCAGCTCCCTGGCACACCCGTGCAGTCACAGTGCAAGTGGGTACTCAGGAACTACAGCAAACTGGACAATACACAGGGTACAAGGTACAGAAAAGAGGCACTAGTGGGAAGACGCAGGGAACATGCGTGACACAGGGAGCAGATAACTGAAGAGAACACAAAACAGGTGTACCCACTGGAATAGAAGAGAGGAATGCACAGGAGAAAGGAGGGAGGTGCACTGTAGGGCAGAGTAGAAAAACCACAGGAAGTTGGAGTAGGAGGCAAACCACAAAACAGATGTATCTGGGATACAACGAAGAGCAAGGCTGCGTGGAACAAGCAGCCACACAAGAGAACAGACACACGTAAGGACAGGTGCAGGGGCTCACGTAGGGGAATATAACCATACACTAGCAGGACAGCAGGATCTCACAGAGAGCACAGCACACATTGAGAGCGTGAATAGGCCAGAGACTAGGGCATATCTGCCCAGGGGAAGGTGCAAAGTACAGGCACACAGAAGAGAGCACAGAGATGGTGGGGGGAAACGTACAAACAAGGTAGGAGACCAGCACACAGGAACTACAACAAATGGGAAGACAAGAACCAAGCAAAGGGGGGGAATAGCCAACAGGGAGATCACGAGCAAAGGGGGAATAGCCAACAGGGAGATCACGAGCAAAGGGGGGAATAGCCAACAGGGAGATCACAGACACAGGAGAATCAGTACAAAGCAGGGATCCAAAAAGGTAAACTAGCACAGGAGATCACAAGCAAAACACAAGGGGTCTGACACAAGAAAGAAGACTTGTTGCTAAAACGAAAAGCAACAAGTGAGAGAGTGCTAAGTAGGAGGTGTGCAGATTGGCTGCAGCCCTGTGGAATCCCATAGGCTACAGCCAAGCAGCAGGGACCAACATGAAAATCTGGCATGGGTTGCCGGACATTGTGACAAGGAAGTTAGGAGCAGAAGGTATTTCTGGCAGATCATCAGGTATTTTTCAGTACCAGCAGAGTTTTTAAAGGGATAAAACATGGTGTAATGCACATGTATTGCAGAGATGTAGTAGTGTGTTTTTTTTTTGCCCTAACATATACTTTAGGTTTGCTTTACTCTGTCAGACAGGCTCAAACATAATAGAGGAGGTGGTAATAGGACTGTGTGGCAGAACATAATGCTTTAATTGCTATTACAATTTTTGTTTTCTTTTATTGGCAGGAGACTGCTGACAAGGGATAAAGTATTAACCAAGGAATTTTGATTTTTTATAATATTTCTTTACACAACATGCAAAAACAGTCCCTAACCGCCTCCCTAGATCTGAGCGGGCATATTTAAACGTCCTACCAGGACCACCCACTCACGCGCGCAGCTATCACATATGGGGGTTTTCTTAGCCCCGTAGGTGATAGCAATAAAGTTAAGTGGAAAAAAAAAATAGGAAAAAAAAATTTTGCAAACAAATTTTTTTAAAGTTACACATGAAAAAGAATAAAAAAAAAACATAAAAACACAAAAAGTTTTTTCACCCATACATACACACATGCGTTGGGTGCACATACGCGCGAAAAACTACTATTGCACCCATTACGCCGCACATGTTACATAACGCCGCAAACGTCCCAGTGAGAGCAATAAGTCTAGGGCCATAAATCACTGATAACACTAAACTGATGAGCAGTAGAAGCTTTTAAAGCATCGCCTATGGCCAATTTTAGGTATGGTAGTTTTTTGCAATTTCACGGGTGCACGCAGTTTTAAAGCTTGACATGTTTGGTGTCTATTCACCCGACGTGCCCCCGTCTTTTATATTTTACCATAAAATTGGGTAATAATAATCGTTTCCTAACAATTTAATTTTTTCAAAATTTTCAGTAATTTTTTACTAATATAGTAAAAAATAAAAACCGCAGTGGTGATCAAATACCACCAAAGAAAAGTGTGTCTCCAAAAAAATGGTATAAAATTAATTTCAGTACAGCGTTGCATGACGGAATAAATGTAATGCAGCGCTAAATACTGAAAAATTGCCTGGACAGGAAGGGGGTGTAAACACCTGGTCAGCAAGTGGTTAAGGGAGGAACTTCACACTACCCAGGTAAAATTATATTTGAAATCCTTTAAAAAACAAAAACAAACACATACTAGTCCATGGAGTCCAGCTTTGTCTTCCTTGTAGCTGAAGATCTCTTCTCCGGCTGACACCTTGAGAAGAGATCGTGTGCTGTGTGCAGACACACGGAGCCCTTGCCAGGTCTACAGGATGTGGTAGACAGGTGGAGTGCCTAAGCATGCATAAGATCTTGTAATGAACACCGCCTCCTGGGAATTGTGACGTAGGCATCACAGGAAGCAGCGGGTGGCCAGATTACATCAGTGAAATGCAACAATGGATGAAAAAAAAGGGGAAAGTAGGTATATTCACAGTGTTTTAACAAATTTAGGGTTTATATTAATTTTAAATCCATTGGTTTACTAAATTAAAAAAAAGGTGCCAATAATAAGAAGTATAAAACGCTATCTTAAAAAAATCTTTAAAACAGTACCTATAATTTAAAAAGTGAAATATGTTAAATTTGAATGAACAATTCTTGCCTATTTAGCACTCACCTATAAAAGGATATTGCACAAAGGGACGGATTAAGGACAGAAATATGTATTGACTATGACTGTTAGTACTATATAAAATCATAAAATCTAAAATTAAATTTCATTTTCATGTCCTCCTATTACTATAATTGCCTCATATAATTATTTTGCTTTGGCAGAAACTAATAAAACCTGAAACTGGACTGCTTGGTGTGGGTTACTGCACAAGACTGCTCTTTGTACGTCCTCTCATTTATCTGCATGTCATATAATATGAAGGGTTCAGATGAAAGACATATAAGAGAGCTGTTATACCTGCCAAAGAATTTGTATTTCTGCCCATTTGGTCCTGAGATTTACACAGTCCTGCAAACAGAAGGCGCAGACTGGTCCCCTGACCTTTCACTATCGCAATGAAGCAACACAATGCAGATACCACCCTGCCTCCATCCAGTGACTGGACAATAAAGCTGCACATCGAGGACCACCTTTCTCTGCTCACTCTGCTTTCTCCTAAAGTCAGCATTCTCCTTGTAGAACACAAGTACATGTAGCACACCAGTGTGCAGAGGATGATACCATGCTAAAATTCAGGTACTTACAGTTGTTGCATTTAAAATGATTTTAATGATGTTAAAGTGCTGCATTTAATGGTGTTTTTTAAATCTGACTAGAATTTAGGTTTATGTAATAACATCAAAACTAAATGGGCCTATGTAATAGACAAATATCAACACGCAAAAAACAACCTAAAGTAATGAATCCAAAATAAACATTTGGGGTTCTCACCACAGTTGACTGAAATCAGATTGGTTGCTGTGGGGCGCTCCAACACTATTGCTAATATGAAGCCTTACATTAACCCTGCAAATCTTGCTTTTGTAAATATCTGCTTGAGCATTTGTGAACATTAACATCTATGAGGTGAGTGCTTTCCACTCATCCTCATAGTTAGAGCTGACCTGTGCAAAGAAGCTGTCACATGTCGGCTCTATCGATCGGGTAGTGAGCAGAAACATGCACGATTTGCTCACTACCCGATCGTCTCCCTGCAGTGACTGTCAGTCACCACTCCCCGCAGGGATTCCCCAGCTGGCTCCACCTCTCGATAGGCAGAGCCAGCTGTCACTCACGCAGCTGGGTGGATCTCGACAGTACTGTCGGGATCCGTCCTGGCTGCGGCGCTCACAGGCAATAGCCCGTGATATACTGAGCTTTGGGTCATGGGAGGATACTAGTATATGTCCTCCTGTGACTCTAAAGAGAACTATGGGGAAAACCACTTACTACATAGTTCTCTTTTAACTACATTTGAAATTAAACTGAATTCAAGCAAAGTAATCCCAGGTCAAGATGCAAAAATTTGCAGCCCTACAGAAGCTGAACTTCATTCAAGTTTCATGGTGTACACAAAGAAGGGAAATGAACAGTTACTTCTAGATTGTGTCAGGCTAGATGTTTTAGGCTAGATGAGTCTTGCTTTTACACCAGTTTAAAGGCTAAAAAAAGTTCCTAGGAGCACCTGACTTCTATTTTTCTTAAACGCAGCTAAACTGACTGCATCTAAACGCAAGGTGTGAATGGATCAGTTGAAAATCATTAGATGCCTTTATATTGTTTTATTGATTTCCTCTTACTTCCTGTCCCATTGACATAGCAAGAAGTGAGAAGAAATCTCTATTAAGTGAGGTAAATCTTCCTAATGGGACACAAAAAAACCCAAAAACCTGTGTGACCATAGTTTTACCTTATCCCTACTCTAGCCAAAAAAATAAGGTTTAACTTAGAATACACTTTCAAAAGGATATCATAAGCTGCGCTATTAATCATACACTCCAATTAATACCAGAAAACATATATAATTCCTTTATTTCAATGTGCAGAAATACAATGGGAAAATAAGCTTATCTGGCAACAACCATGGTCTTTGCAGAGTAACTTAAAGTGGATGTAAATTTCAAATAGGATTTGGTACGTTATAAGGAACATCTAGAATTCCTGAAAATAGCAGTGTACTGCCTGTAATGTGAGGGTGCTTAGGTATCCCCTGGGTCTATAGCTTGATAGCTATATATCTACAATGTGAGATCTAAGGCATTGCTGGATCTGCAGTGAGATTTAGCGATGACACACACTGCTGCTCATTGTTCTCCTTGGAGAAAGTTTTGACAGGAGGAAGTGAACCATGCCTCTGCAAAGATGGCCACCTCAACACAAAAACACACAGTTCAGAACAAGGCAGTAATGAGGAAAAGATCATTGCCCTCCGCTTGCCTATTTCTGTGCATAGTTTAGAGAGTTTAGTTCCTTTTTAAGAACCCAATTGACAGTATGATGCAGTTTTCTCATGATGCGAAACAGGTGTGTTTAATATTCATCTCCTTATTATGTAGCAACAATGGATAATCCTTATCCTATGGGATCATGGTGGATACACAGCATGTAGTGAGGCCAGAAGAATGAGCACCAAGAAGTTTGACAATGTTTGAACAGTGTATTATTTAAACACAATAACTTACGGAAAGGAGGGTAGGGGTTATACAGGAAATCTGTACCACAGTGCTTTCTCCATAGCAGGTCAGTTCACCACCACAATGGTCAATGGGCAACAAGAGCATTTCTTTCATAAAGACCTCAGGAGGTAAAGAGATACACCCCAGGAAAAACTCCACTGGGAACTAGAAGCAATATATCTTTAAACTTGTATTGGTTCCAAAGCAAAACCTACTGGGCAAAGTTCACAATGATTGTCCGGGCTAATAAATATTTAGAACTCAAAGGGGTGCAGTTCTAAAACATTTGCAGAGCCATTCATTCTGCAAAACTGCATGTACATTTGTTTTGTGTGGATGAAGGCACAAAATTAATGTTTATATTTACGCAATGCGGATAGTTGGAGTTGAGGTGCATAAAAAAATATATATATTTCCTATGTTTCTCAGCTTCATCTTGTGGCACATAATGTGTTTTTTTCCGGATACTGTATTCGACATGGAAAGAAAATATACAAAGAGCATTTGTTTTTGGTTTTTTACCTTCATTTACACAGAAGAAATGCACATGAAGTTTTGCAGGCTCTGCAATTTTTAAAACAAATACACCCCATAGTGGTAATCCCTTTAAAAAAGACTGCTAGAAAAAAAATTCAATAGCAGCTAGTAGAAGCAATTAACACCATGCTCTTAGAGGCACCTATATGCACCCACAGAGCTCAAAATATATTCCCAAAATAGAGATCAACTGTCTCTTGCAACTAATTAACTAGTATATAGTTTATGAAAAATAGAGACAAATGAATATTCTCACCAAATTCTCCACGGGCGTCTCAGTTCCTTCGGCTCCTTCCAGCGTTTTACTGAAAAAGAACATTAATAAATCATACATTAAGAAATGCCAATTTTCTCACTCTAATAACTATCATACAACTCAACCCTACGGCTGCATGGATGTTCATATTTTTTTTTTTTTTGCTGCAGAGAGATTTAAACACTTGTTGGCAGTCATCTGATTTCAGTCCACTAAAATCAATGTGATGATAAAGAGCAACTTGACAACAAGTGGATAAATTGGTCAGTAGCAAAGCAGGAAGTATACATGTTAAACCTACTCTGATTAAATTATGGATTTAATGTGTTTTTTTTTTTAAATTAAACCACTACAGTAATACTTAGAGCAAAACCGTGACAATCAACTAACTAAAAATATCCAAATTGAAAATCCTACTAAGTAACCTTAGAATTTATTAAAGGGCAATTATAAGGCAAACAGAAAGAGACATCATTGTAGAGTAGAGGGGTAACTGAGTTGATAGACTCAATCATCAGCTATCCAGATCTGTAAATAACAGGCCTCTTCCACAGAGCACATAAATTGACACTCCATTCAGGAGTTAAACCTCACAAAATGCATTAAAAGCATCTTAACTACTAACAAAATGTATCCTATTTGTGTATCACTCGGCTGTAGATCCTCAAATCATCTCTGAATTGATGCCAACACTGTTCTTCCTGGAGGGTGGCTACCTTTGTTCCCCATGGTCCCTGTGTGTTTTGTAAAGTAGCCCCCACTCCAAGCTCACTCCTGTGATGGACTACAATCTCACGTTTAGTTCACTAATTTGTGTTGAATTGTACTCCATCACGGGAGAGAGCTTGGAGCGGTGACAACTCTACAACACACACAGTGACCATGGGGAACAAAAGTAGCCACCCTCCAGAAGGAAGGACAGTGTCAGCACCTATTCAGAGATGATTTGAGGATCTACAGCTGAGTTTAAGGTTTAACACGTAAATTGTAGTGTCAATTTATGTGCTCTGCAGAAGAGGCCTGTTATTTACAAAAGCCTGGAACCCCCACCTGCTTGCTGGAACTATTAAACATGACAGACAAAAAAATGAAAACAAAATAAAAAATTATTTACACACACACACACACACACACACACACACACACACACACACACACACACAAAAACACCACGTGGCCCACAAAAAACACCACGTTGCCTTCAAAAAAAGTTCTAGGTTTATTTGTTGATTATTGTGTTGTTATTTTTTTGGGATTATATTATATTGGCTCCTCATACAGTCCTACATTTCCACTGTCTTCATTAGGCATAATGCAACACTGTAAAAATGTCAATTACAAACAAAAAGCTGGTTTAAAAAAGTAAGAAAAAAAATCAAAAATAAAAAAGTAAACTTGACTGGTCACTATATACAACCACCATATATACAAACACCATTTGTGATCTTGTATTCATTCCAATTGTTATACAGTAATAGGCTATAAGTTATAGTACACATTTCTAGTGATTTTGCATGTTAATTAAATAAAAGGAGTCAAAACTGAAAAAATGAAAATCTGAATACAAAAGATATTTATATCTAACTGGGAAAGAGGGATTCTGCCGCTGACAATAAGCAGTTGTAAAATTTCCCAATTATACTACAATAAATTAAACCCCTAAAATTAAAGAAATTAAAGAAATTGCACCCTAAATAAAAAGGTCGTAGATCATCAAATAATGTTCATCATAAAACATATTAAAGATTATAAAATCAGTTCTTCCTATTTTTAGAAGATACATATTATTATTTTTTCTGATGGTCATCTGATCATTTTTAGGATGGTTTTCAATCAGTTCTTTTGTAGCTAACCTTTATTTCTTAGAATGCAAGCCCTTTTGGGCATAAGTATTTTACTGTGTCATGTATTTATAATGTTGTAGCTATAACCCACATGCCCTCACGTCCCTGTGGCAGGTATTGTAGTAGTGCATTTTTATTATTATGACTATAAATATTAAACAAAGGAAATAAGAAATGAACAAAGTAGATTGTGGTGTGCAGATTCTGAGTGATAAGGTGCCAACCCCTGGTAAAGTAGTAATAACAGATAAAGAAGGAAAGCAGTTGGGGTTTTTTTGGGCACCAGATGACAAGTCCAATGAACAAAAAACTGTATGTATGTATGTATGTATGTATGTATGTATGTATGTATGTATGTATGTATGTATGTAATTTTGTTCATTGGACTTGTCATCTGGTGCCCAAAAAACCCCCCAACTGCTTTCCTTCTTTATCTGTTATTACTAAGGAAATAAGAAAGAAAAAAAATATTCAGCAGATCACCATTGAGTCAGACTATATACGGTAAATGTTAAGCCGGTAAAATGACTTGTTGCTTAATGAAGATCATTACACTCATTTGTTAACTTGAATTTTTTACTATACAAAATCATATGCTCATCATTTGTGAAAGCTGCACAGTGTAAGCCAGAATTATAATTGTGAACCTTTTGAATATTTGCATTTACCATTAGATCAGTATATGACTTTGTATGTGCTTTTAAGCAAGTAGAAACCCTTCTAAAACTGCACCGTATGCATTCAGTTCAGTCATGCACATTGCTTAACGTATGTTTTCCATGTCAATGTATGCATAACCTTAGCTACACTGGATTTTTAGCCCTTTGACCTAGAAAAGGTTTTGTCTTCTTTACATGACCTTGTTTTGAACCGCAAACATTTTAAAAGGCACACTAACCCCATTTCTATATTATGCAGAATGTGAATATTAGCAGGTGGTGGTTATAGGTTGTACAATTTTAGTCCAGCCTCTAGTCAATGCCTTTATCTTCCTATAAGGCTGGGTTCACACCTAGGCATATTGAATGTGTGTGTATGTCGCACGTTTCGTGCCGCACGTTTTTACCGCGATCTGCGGTAAAAAACGCACAACGCGCGTTTCCGAGGGCTACCTGGCTGTATCCCAATGGATACGCACGGCAAATATGCCCCAACGCCTTCTTTGGGCGTAGGGTGTTATGCAGCGCATTCCTACGCGCTGTAAAACGCCCAGGTGTGAACCAGGCCCAAATGTTTTCTTTCTCATTAAGTTTGATTCCCTTTATTACTTGGAATTAAGTGCTGGTTAAATCTTTCAAACAACTGGGTTTAGTGTCAAACCAAAATGACAAACAGGGAAATTGATGGCCTAAGGTGGCCACAATATTTTATCCTTGATGACCTATACGTGTCTAGGCATCTGAAGACTGCTAATAACTCTCCCTGTTGTCTAATCTCTACAGCTGTGCAAAATAAGTTCAGAAAATTGCCATTTTTAAAATTTCTAGAACTTTTAACTGTACCTGGGCACAGTTCACCCCCTTAGTCCGGTTTATTTTTGTAGTATGAGTGCTCGGGACCATGCCTGACCATGGTTCAGCGTACCATGCCTGGGACTGCTTGGAACAGGTGGTCTGGGGCACAGTTCACCTGAAGTCTGGTATGGCTTGCTTTAAAGCGAGTGCAAACCATGCCCGAGGACTAAAATCTCAACAATCACTGAGCACGGGAAGGAGGAATCACTGAGGTCTGGCTGGGAAAGGAGATGATGGAAGTGTACTGGGAATGCTGGGAAAGTTGAACCCCTTTTGAAAAAGGCCTTTTTAAATTTTGCATAACATCATCCTGATAACGAACTTCTATATTGAAACGCCTAGTGCATGACTAAAGAACCTTACAGTATAAGGGCACGTTGGACAGCATGCCCCCCAACGTTTTGATATGGGAAACAGAGACACATTATAGTATGAAGTATTGAAAGGATATTCCCCTGCCACAGCTCAAATAATGTAGACCATGAGGATCAATGTGCAAAAAAAAAAAAAAAAAAAAAAAGAAGAGACTAGTTTAACCAAAAATTGCTTGTTTGACCAGTACCTTTCCTTTATTTTAGCTTTTTAAAATGTTTGCTTAAGGATTTAGTACAATAAAACACTTACATTTTTTTAATAGAGGTCTATACATACAAAGACAAAAATTGGACAACTGAGAAGGAAAGAGGGGCTTTGGTACTCCAGGGTGAAGTATAAGTGTACTTCCACTTTCGCAGCCAAATTGGGATAACACATGGCATAAGCTAAAAAAAAATTAAAACATGCTTCTTGCAGTTTAATTGATTTTCCTTGGGTTAGGGTTTCTACTTGGCTTCTGAAAAGGTTAAAATATCTACTTGCTTTTTCTTTTGTAATGTTAGAAGGGGCTGTAAAAGGGAGGTAAATGAAAAATGATTACAACCCTGGCTTCTCCACTGTAAGTTAAGGAAGTTATTGAGAGAAACGCAATACGCAAATTTCAGTCCCAAGTCTTTCTATAAGGGCAGATCACTGTGAAGTTGCTCAGAAAAAAACTCAATTCAGCCACGTCGCCTGCTTTAAGAAAACTTTTAAAAAGGTAATAAATAGTTTTGAAAACATTATTTTTCGGCATGCTGTGTGAATAGGAACACATAATAAACATTTTTTAAAAACCCAAAAAATCCTTTATGTGACCGCAAAAGTGTAACTACACTTTAAAATAAGCAACACAGAAAAAAGAATGCATCTCAACTTAAAAGGAAGCATTTAGTGACATGGTTTAGAGCCAGCCAATCGTCAGCTCAACACTGACATCTAGTGATAAGTTAAGTAGTTATTACTAAACTTTACACGTTTTTACTTTAGGTCAAAATAAAAAACAGAAATATTGCAAAAGCAAAAATAAATACAAAAATACAAATAAATAGTACACCGCATGTATCCAAAAAGTGTGCAGTTTTTTTTATTTTTTATTTAGTGTACATTATTTTTTTTAAAGCATAACTGCATATAATTTATAGTTTGCTAGGTCTCTATTTTAAGGAAAGAACAAGCTACTTGCACAGCAGGACAAATAGATATGTATCCCTCTTAACAGAGACACGGACCTGACAGGGTTCCCCCACTCGGACCAAAGCAAGAATGAGGCTGTATATTCTGCAATATTTACATTTTTGTTAAACTCATTCAATGAATCCAAGCTCTGCAAGCTG